AAAAGGTGTCGTTTTGGGAACTGACAGGAACCCCCTCCCCATTATAGAAATTACCAGAAAGTTCAGGGGGTGTGACCAGTCAGTCCTCACCGACAAGCCCAAAGTGCCCAAGGTGTTCCTCTTGATTCCTTTATAATTTGATTGTACATTGTGTTTTTTTGCATGCGTTTGATTACTTAAAATTCAGCTGTGTTTTTCAGAGTGACTGCCTTTAGTTGATGTAATTTTCCTCTGCACCTACAACACCATAAACTGATGAAAAAACTAAACAAAAACAAAAGATTCCAAAGTCCTGTAACACTTTTGTGCTGAAAGTACAGGCTCTGTAAACCTGTAAACAAACAGAACTCACCTTACCAGTTAGGACCACCACCCTTTGGACTGACTCGACAACTGCACTTCACTGGCTTCAGTCAGATTCCTGCCATTTCAAGGTATTCGTAGGAGCCAGTCTCGGAAATTCAAAACTTCAGAAACATTCAAGACTGGAGATACATCAATTCAGCCACAAATCCTGCTGATGATGTTACGAGAGGTAAATCCCTGAAAGAGTTCCTTAGCCCAAACAGGTGGACCAAGGGTCCGTCGTTTCTGCATGAACCTCCAAATAACTGGCCCACAGTTACAGATCTCCATCCTGATAATGATCAGACTGAGTTAAAGAAATCCTACTTTTGTGGTATTGTCAATACCAGACACACCCTGCTTCAGAACCTATCAAGAGCTATTGGATTTCACGGTTCGTTCATTCCCCAATCAAAAGTCAATTCCTTCTGCAGCTGATTATCTAACAGCAGAACAAGAAATCCTTCGTCAGGCACAAGTGGACAGTTTCGGTGAAGATTTAACCCGTTTACAGTCAGACAAACCCTTCTCATCCGACAGCCGTCTATTGTGTTTGTCACCAGTGTTGTGCAGGAATTCTGGACTTATCCATGTAGGAGGCCAACTACGGCAAAGCCCAGACTTGGAGTTGAATGTCATTCACCCAATAGTACTCAATCCTGCTCATCAGTGACCAAATTAATCATACAACATTATGATGACAAACTGCTGGTTCAGAAAGACTTTTTGCTGAACTACGTCGGAAATTTTGGATTCTCAGAGGAAGGGAAGCCGTACGTAGTCATCAGTATAGCTGCGCTGCATGTAGAAATGCAGAAATGGAGATCATCGTTCCAAAAATGTCAGACTTGCCTGCTGCTCGTCTTAGGTTATTCAAACCACCTTTCTACTCCACAGGAATAGACTGCTTTGGACCATACATGGTCAAGACCGGCTGTCTATTGGAGAAAAGGTGGGGGATAATATTCAAATGTCTCACGACTTAGTGTATACATCTTGACCTCCTAAAGAAGCATGGATACCGACTCCTTCCTCGTGGCCCTCCAACGATTCATTTCTCGACGGGGAACACCCTTGGAAATTATATGTGATCAAGGAACTAACTTCAAAGGAGGAGATAAGGAACTACGGGCCGCTTTTAACAACCTTGCTCCGACTCTACAACAGGTCCTGATGACTAAGAGAATCCATTTCAAATTCAATCCCCCGGATG